GCTTCAATATTGGCAGAAAGACTTTAAAAATATTTAAATAATTTTATTCATCCTGATCAAAATGGATTTCTGCCAAAGAGACAAATTAAAGAGTAATCTTGGACACCTTGGAATACTACGACGCACATCCTGAAAAACAAATGGCTCTGATATTTCTAGATGCACAGAAGGCATTTGATAATGTGAATTGGCGATTCATGTTATTACAGCTGGAACAGATGGGTTTTGCTAGAAAATTTATTCAAGCAATAGAAGCTATATACTATAAGCAAATGGCAAAGGTAATGATAGAGGGAGAACTGACAGACTCTATCAATATAAGAAAAGGAACAAGACAAGGGTGCCCACTATCGCCTTTGTTGTTTGTGTTAACTTTGGAAGTGCTAAACAGAAATATTAGAGATGAAAAGATTATAAAAGGGATGAAAATTAAAAAGGAAGAATTTAAGTTGCAAGCATTTGCAGATGATCTGGTTTTCATCTTAGAAGACCCTCTAGAAACAGCATCAAAATTGATAGAAAAGATAGAGACATATGGAAAGGTGGCTGGTTTGAAAATAAATAAAGATAAGACAAAGATCTTGACAAAGAATGTGCTATTAAGACAAAAGGAAGAACTGGCAGACCTATTGAAAATTCAGGTCACAAATAAGATCAAGTACTTGGGGATATATTTGACAGCAAGATGTAGTACATTAAAAGAGAATAATTATATCAAACTTAAACAGGAGATAGATCTGGCGAAATGGGAAAATTTACAACTGTCACTAATAGGGAGAATTTCAACAATCAAGATGAATATATTACCCAGAATTTTATATTTGTTTCAAACAATTCCAATTAGGCTTGGAAAAGATTACTTTGAAGATTTAAATAAAATTGTGTTGAAATATATATGGCAAGGTAAGAAAGCGAGAATAAAGTTAAAACTTTTGCAAGATGCTAGAATTAGAGGAGGATTTGGTTTGCCTAATTGGGAGTTGTACTATCAAGCTACAAATCTGATGTGGGTTAAGGAATGGATAACACTAAGAAATACTAGATTGTTGACATTAGAAGGACATGATTTGTTGTTGGGGTGGCATGCTTTCTTATGGTATAAAGCAGTGGCCTCCAACCTTTTTCGAACCAGGGACCGGTTTCACGATTATTTATTCTTCCACGGACCGGTACCTGAGTAACGTGAGACTCCACTGCCATCGGGACGGCTCTTCGTTCAAAACCGCCCCCCCTTCGACGAAACTAAGGCGTGAGCACCCAAACGCCGCTTTCCAACTGAAAACCCGGAAGCACTTTCCAACCGAAAACCCGGAAGCAACTGAAAACCCGGAAGCGCTGTTGAAACAAGATGGCGGCACCCAAGCTTTGTGGCCCGGTAAAAAATGATCCGGTACCGGTCCGGGGACCAGTGGTTGGGGACCCCTGGTATAAAGGAACTAAAACACAGGGGTATTTTAGAAGACATATATGGGAGTCTCTGTGGTTAAATTGGGAGAATATTAAAAGACAATGTTATTTGAAAATTCCAGTCTGGTTATCGACTATTGAAGCATTTTCTTATCCTATAATATACAAAAAGGAACAAACAGTTAGATATGGTGAAATATTGAATGAAAAGGGTGAACTCAAATCTATACAAAAACTAGAGGAACAAGGTATAAAGATGAATTGGTTTTCATATGCGCAAATACATTCAAGGTATGATAAAGATTCTAAAATGGAAGGTTTCTATGATAAATTGACTGATTTAGATAAGGTTTTGACAGGTACTGATGAAAAGGTGATTTAAAAACTGTATGGATATTTATTAGAAATTAAATTAGAAGAAGAACAAAGAAACTATGATTGCTTGGGGGAAGAATTTTGGATATGGGATCAATTTAGAGAAATGGCAAAAATTGTGGTCTCAAAATTATAAAATGACAATGTCAACAGCATATAAAGAAAATTTGTATAAGATGTTTTACAGGTGGCATTTCCCCCCGACAAGAATAGCAAGAATGTTCAAGAATAAATCTGAAAAATGTTGGAAATGTCATCAGACACCCGGCTCATATTACCATATGTGGTGGACTTGTGAGGATGCTAAAAAATACTGGACTAAAATCCACATGTGGTTGGAAAAAATGACAAAAAAACATATAGACTTGAAACCAGAGATATTTTTATTGGGAATTTTACCTGAAATATATAGTAAAGACTTGAAATAGCTGATTGTAAACGTATTAACAGCGGCTAGGACTGTATTTGCTAAAAACTGGAAAAATGAGAAAATACCATCACAGGAGGAAATTATTAAGAAAATATTGGAATGTGCTGAAATGAGTAGATTGACATTTGAAATTAGAGATCAAGAGGATAAACAATTTTATAAAATTTGCGATCTTTTCTATCAATGGTTAGACAATAAAATACTGTAATGAAATATGTAGACTTTTAGAAAATAATAAATATATAAAGATGTACTTCTTTCTTATTATATCTACAAAATGATTTTAGGATAGATTTGGGATGATAATATGAACTGTTATAAAATAAACTAAGTAAATTATGAATATCTTGTAAAACTTGAATGAATAAAAGTATAGTCAAATGATTAATAATGATGCTAAGGTATTTAATTTTTATTGAAAATACGAGATTATATGCAATGTAATTGTAATTGAAGACTACGAAATGGAAGCACAAAACAATTTGTAAACCAACCAGCACACTGTATGTATACATATAGAACATGGCTTGATGTTTTTATGTTTTGTTTGTCTATGTTTGTTTTTAAAAACCAATAAAAGATGACATTCCTCTGTGAATAGGACCTGCAACATGCCCTTCCTGCAGGATCTGATGGGATGGGTGTTATCTGTTTTGGAAGAGACAATCCCTCAAATAATCCAGTCCCATGCTATGTAAAACCTTATCAGTCACATTATCAGTATCTTGAATTGACTCCAGTAGGAAACCAGTAATCAATGCAGCTCGTGGAGGATAGCGTAATGTGTTCTGATTTAAATGTACGTGTATATGGTACCATACTGAAAGGTAAAGGTTTTTCTGTCCAGTCGCATCCAACTCTACAGTGCAGTGCTCATCTCCATTTCAGTCAGCATTTTTTGAAGAAATTTTCCTTGGTCATGTGGCCAGCATGGCTACATGCCTCCAAAGGCAACAGAATGCTGTTACCTTTCCACTGAAGATAACAATGGGACCTATTAATATATTCACATTTCAATGCTTTAGAATTGCTAGGTGGGTAGAAGCTGGGGCAGGAACAGGAGCAGACCTTATCATGCGATGCTTAGCTCTCAAATCCGGGCTGCCAGCTTTCCAGCTGACAAGCTCAAAGTCTTCAACCATACTAAGCCATCACATCCCCTTATAGTACTATACCAGGGTGGCTCAAATCCTTTGAAAGAATTGCTTTCCAAAGTGTAGAAGCATACACATAGCATATTTCTTTGCATCAATGAAGCAGATAGTTGTTCTAGGCTCATGTGGGTACTTCATAAATAGCTCTTGGCTGTCTGCAAATGTCCATTATGCATTGGTAAGCCTAAGAAAGATATATGTCCCTATAGAAATAGACTGCTTACTGAATACTATGCGTAAATTATGGTTTTGTTCAACTAAAAACAGGTTTCCAAATTTCTTAATATTTTCTTGTCTTTTCATTTTACAGTATCCTTTTTAAGGTAAAATGAGCAGAGCAGCACACAACGATCCTATTCATATTATTTTCCAACCTTTTTGGCATTGCATATAGACTGATGATAATGTCATTTGTATTTCTGTGAGCTTCATAATGTATGAACCCAGTTCCTGTTACCTGTAAACGATCGTTTCTTAGCTAATCCAATGTGCCAACTTTATATAACTTCACAGGTAGTCCTCGACTTATGACCAGTTGACCCCCAAATTTTTGTTGCTAAGTTAAACATTAGTTAAGTAGCCCATTCTACATTTTTTCTTGCCACAGATGCTAAGTGAATCAGTGTAGTTGTTAAGTTAGCAACATGTTTGTTAAGTGAATGTGGCTTCCCCGTTGACTTTACTTGTAAGGAAGTCACAAAACCTGATCAATCACGGAACTCCAGGACACCACAACTGTCATAAATAACAGTTAGTTGCCAAGCATCCAAATTTTGATGTGACCCTGGGGAAACGCTGCAATGGTCTTAAGTGTGAAAAATGGTGATAAGTCACTTTTTCAGTGCTGTTGTGACTTTGAACAGTCACTAAATGAACTGCTGTAAGCTGAGGACTACCTGTAAATTATGGCTTAAAAATGTAGCTTAATGTACTGTTCAGGCATCTATCATAAAAAGTGAATCCACTATGCGGCTAATGTCATACGTGAAATCAACAGGAAAGTAGCTGAAAATAAAATTGCCTATGATCTAATGTAAAACTGTGGACAAAGCTGGCTGAGGAATTCTGGGAGTTGAAGTCCACAAGTCTTAAAGTTGCAAATTTGGGGACCCCTGAGCTAAAGTGATAGCCAATAAAAGGAGATTCATAAGCAGTAAAGTTGTTTGCACAAAAATCATTTAAAATTAAAGACTTTGCCGCCTTTAGATGCTGTGGAAGATGGAGTTAGGATCCAAAAGTTAGTATGCAACTATGAAGTCTGCATACCACAGAAGCAAACCTTTTAATCTCCTCCTTTAACGAAGAAACCTATCACCTTATCGTCTTATCCTGGGAGCTTCCCGATTTCTGTCCGTGAGGCCACTGTATCACCCAAAATGCTGGTATGACTATGGCCAAGCCCACAGAGGCTCCTCGGGGTCCCAATTACACACACATGCATAGAGAACACAGCCAAACCTATCAAAGAGTTGGAGTCTCTTACGGCCCGTAAAAAGAGGAGGCGCTCCAGATCTCCGCCGATGAAATTATGCGGAGGTCTTTACCAACTCTGCGTTACGATTCTGAGCAAATGAGCTAGAACAGAAACCGTATGTTCCCTTCTTTGGCGGAATAAACACAAACCTACCACCTACCCCACTACTCGACGCCATCTTGCCTCCGAAGAGTCCGGAAAGCCGGAAAACGACGCGCGCCCTCCCCACGCTCGGGAAGGGCTTCCTGGTTGCAGATGCCCCCGGGAAGTGGGGAGGAAGGTTATCCGATCAGGAACTTCCCTCTCACCCCACAGACCGCGGTAGGGCCTTTCTGCTAGTCGGGTGCTCCAAAGTATAAACCTGGAGGCTGAACGAACACGCGCTTTGCTTTAACTTTATGCTTTGAGCAGAGACTCCAGTAGTTGCAAACCTTCAAACGAGTGTGCTTGTCCACGTGTTCGTGTCACGTGTCATTTCTGTAGCCTTCTAAAAGAAACCGAGGAGTTAAAATAAACAGGAAAGTGTGTCAGAAGACTGGAGCAGGGTGGGTGAAATAGTTAATTTACTGCAGTATTTCTCAACTTTGGTGACTTAAAGATGTGGGGGGGCTTCAACTCCCAGAATTCCCCAGCCAGTCTACTGCCTGGAAATTCTGAGCTTTGAAATCTACCTATCTTAAACTTTTCCAAGGTTGAGCAAAACTGGTTTATCATTTTAAATCTGTGTCCGGGAAAGTGAAAACGATTTACTTCCGGTGAGGAATATACTGTCGTCTTATGAAGTTGACCTAAGCTTTTTTCTTCGAGAGGGACTTTCTGAATGGTTTAGAAAATTTCCTTTGAACAATTCGTGCACTTTATGGGAACTTTAGAGAATGGTGATATGGTAAGGTTATCTGCACAACCCTTTGTCATTTTGTGAAACGGCGGTTTAACTTTTCAAAAATTGCATTTGTGCGTTCGTTGCCATTCTTAATCGATTCCTTAATCTGATTAACATACAGTGTTTGTGAGAGTTGGCTGGTGCAGAAGTGAGCAATCCTTTTGTATCGGCTTGGCTTGCAACAAGGAAGTGATGCAAAATTCGTGGGATTTAGCACGCTCCTGGGCAGGATTTTTCTTTGGAGAGGTAGTTTCAATGGATCTTTTTTCTTCCTGTGTCTAAAATGTGTTTCCTCTAAAATGGCGGAAAATCCCGACCTTCATTTTTACCAATAGAGGCTGTATGGGCTGCAAGAAAGAAGTTAGGGTCTTTAAGTTACTCATCCCCTTAGTATTGGCAGTAGGAGTCCCGACCTGTACTGTGCCATAAAGTTTACTTTGTGATCCTTATGCTAATCATATCTTGACCTAATCTTTCTAATAGATTTGGGAGGTCCAAATGCAGTGAATCCATATTCGGTATACCTCTTAAGCTCTATAGTCGTTATGCATGTGATCAATGAATGCAAATGTTGTCTTCCAGGCTTTATTTTACTCTGTAATGATGCTATGTCTTTGCTGTAGTACTAAGCGTTAAACCAATATGATTATTTGTTTCGTCCTTTTCTTCATTTTCTTTGCAGGTTTTATTCTTTACAGATAATAATTCTGCTCACCTTTGGCTAAAATGAAGGCAATTTTTCATGTATCTGTATTACACTATAGCAGCTGATGTAATTATCTAAACTTTCCAATATGCAATGTATCACTGTTTTAAGAACTGCTTCCTCTCGGACTCAGCACTTGCCTGTACAGTTTCACATCTTACGTTTGTTTTCCAGTCATCTTCCAAATCAGGTGTGTCTCATTTAGCAGTTCTTAATTCTCCTTAGTATAGTTTGTTTATATAGTTAGAATTCTAGAATTATTTTGATTTATGGCTCTGTTTATTGACTGGGAACTAAATCAATTGGAAATATTGGGATTGAAAAATATTTATAGAATACTTTTTTATCCATCATCCATTATTACATGCAACTTAATCTGTAGATACTGATTTATGAACAATATTTTATTTATTGCTTTCAAGTTAAAAGATGCCAGATAGCTAGATTGGGAAAAATCACTTTGCTAGATTACACGTGGAGTTCTTTAATCACATAAGCCTGGGCTAGGTGGGAAAGCATCTGAATTAGTATTACAAAGTTACTTCAACGTGTTTGGGAGGTCTTGTTAACAATATTTAAGTTAAGTGTAATACCATATGCCAACTTTATTAATACATATTTTAGAACTGTAAAGTATTTCTTTTTAAATGGAAGAGATATTCTCCTGAGTAGGCTCTGAGATAATGGCTGAGAGAAATTCATGCACTGAGTTTGCCTGGCTTATGGGCAACAAGAACCTGTCCCCCATCCCCATGCCAATCCTAAACTTAACCAATATACCACACAGAATCAGAATAATCCTTGAAAGTACAAAAGTTCTTTTGTTCTGTGTTTTACAAGTTGAATTTTGTGACAATAACAAGGACTAGAAGATCAATGCTATTTCTTTTCTATATCATATTTGTATTACTCTGCTCTTTCCCAGGTTACTGAAGATGCAGAAAAACAACTATCACATCAGCAGAATGCTGGTGCCTCAAAAGGAAAACTGATTCTCAAAGTTCCCAAGGTAATGCCCCAGGATGGTGACATTTCTGGATCTACTGTGTTATTTTCCTCTAAAGAATTTCTTGGAGTTAGCAGTGATACTCTGTTAAGGGGAAAAAATGCACTTTTAAGTGAACTTGCACCTTTCCAAATAAGGTGTGTGTGTGTGTGTATACATACTATATATAGATACACGGAAAGAGATACACATACAGTATATACATACATAGAAATATATGCCCACACACATTCTGCTTTTTCAGTTTTATCCTTTCTTCCAAACATTTTCTAATCCAGACATATCAAACACAAGGCCTAGGGGCCAAATACGACTCACAATGGACCCAGATTTGGCCCACAGTGCCACCCTGGAGACAGCAAGGGACTGGCCCCTGCTACCCTGATCTACAGCTGATCCCAGCCAAACACTCCCCCGGCACATGCGTAGGAGGCAACTAGCTCACAGGGGCTGGTAGTGTCCAGCCGCAGCAGCCCCTCAGCTGGTGCATTCAGGGGTTCCTCAGCCAGTGCAGGGGTGGTGGGCTATGACAGTTGGGCTGGCTCTCCAAGCAGCAGGCAGAGGCTCAGGGGGGAGGCATGTGATCCGGCCCACTGGGCGGCCACCCACCTGCCCCATCCCACCATCTGTCTTTGCTTGAGCACCTCTATCTCCACCTGTTGTCTGCCGCTGGGATGGGGTGCAGTTGCGCAGTCACCTGCCAACCTTGTCTTCCAGCTCTGCCACACACAGGGAACAAGCCTTCCATTCGCTGCCCCACCCGTGATGGCCCCGGTGAACGGGAAGGGTGGAGAGCAGGCTCACTGGAGGATAAGGTTGGACAGCACGCAGGGACTGCAGTGTGGCAGTGACAGTGACTGGCTGGGCTGCCTTTCTGTGACCCCACCATCTGTCTTGTCTCCTCTGATCAGGCCCCGGCACCAGCCCTGGTTCTGTCCTCCACTGGAGACACCTGGATCCCCGCCCCACCCCAGGCCTGCCTGATCCCCAACAGGTGGCCCCGGATGCAAGCAATGTTTAGCTGGCCACTCCTACCCAGTCAACCATGACTACCTGGCCACATTCTCCCCAGACCCTGAAGGCAACCACAGTCCTGAAGCAGCCATTAATGAAATTAAGTTTGACACCTCTGTTCTAACCTCTTTGTTTTGCCTTGAACTCGTAGGGTACCAGGGATTTTAGCCCAAAGCAAATGGCTATCCGTGAAAAAATCTTCAGCATCATAATTAGTTGTTTCAAACGTCATGGAGCAGTAACAATAGATACTCCTGTATTTGAACTAAAGGTGAGAGTAAGTCAGTAATAATTTTGCTGTTGCTGATAAGGTTTTTGTAGCCTATTTCTTTGGAATAAACAAACTTTCTTAATTTTAATTAATTAAACTATACGCATGGTTAAATATGGTGATGGGTGAGGAGAAAGGAAAGATGGTTGTGTTTCATTTTTATTGTTGAACTTATTGATTATGCTGCTACTTGTTTCAAATAATGAAGTTTAGAACTGGAGATTAGGATAGTTTCTTAAATGGAAGTATATTTGTTCTGTAGTGTCCTTATACAGGTAGACCTTGAGTTATGACTGTAATGGAGCCTGCCCATTATGGTCATAAGTTGTGACTGTGAAGCGGGCCAATCATATAACCCACCCAATTTTATGATTCTTTTTTGCTGTGGTCCTTAACCGAACACATCAGTTAATTTGCAAACCAATGATTTGATATGAAGCCAGTTTTGCCAAAAAATGGTAGTAAATACCGAACACAGAATGGCCATAAATGTGACCCAATGAAAAGCACCTGATTGCAGTCACTTGGGGGGGGGGGGCAATCATTTGAACTTTGAATGTGGTCATAAGTACACCCCCCCCCCGGGTAAGCTCATCTGAATTTCAAATGGTTGGCTAAACAACTAATCATAGGTCAACCACCTATAACTATGATGATGAACCTATACCACGCGTGCCGGAAGTAGCACACAGAGCCATTGTCCGTTGCTCTTCCAGGTTCCATGCGTGTGCCGGCCAGCTGATCTTCACGTGCACAGGCGCACCAGAAACCGGAAGACCAGCTCCCCCCCAGTGCACATGCATACGCTGGCCAGCTGCTCTTCGCACGCATGGGAGCGCCGGAAACTGGAAGAGCACAGCGGCCAGCTGGTCTTTGTGCATGGGAGTGCCGGAAACCAGAAGACCAGCTCCCCAGCATGAATGCATGTGCTGGCAAGCTGGGCTTCACGTGCGCAAGCGCATTAAAAATCAAAAGAGCAGGTGGCTGGTGTGCATGCGCGCACCAGGAAGCTAAGCTTCCAGTTTCTTGCACACGTGCGTGAAGGAGCTGCTCTTCCAGTTTTCAGGGTGTGCACACTCCCATTTCAGCACTTGGTACTGGAAAGGTTAGCCACCACTGACCTATAATGTGAAATTCTACAGTGTCCTTCATTTTCACCAAAATGTTTTTTTTAACCTATGTCTTTTACAAGCAGAATCATAATGTTGGGAGTACATGAAAATCATCAGGCTGATTAGGATAATACTAGGTAGGAGATATTTCTAGCATACCCTAAGACAGATTTATCATTTCCAAGTTTACAACAAATGACGTTAAAGAACTAAAAAGATGAATGTAAGCCGAATAAATTTTATTCCTGAGGATAAAGTCATAATAAAATGTTTAATATCAATTTATGATTTTATAAAACATTCTTACAATGAGGGTACAGTAATGCTGTGTGTTTTGCAATAAAAATAGTAAATATAGCCATGTATTTCAAACAGATCACTGTGCAATAGCATCTCTTCTACAATGGAAATTGTCATATATGAAAATATATTGTAATACGATATATTATAGTACTATATCGTGACTGTGGTAACTTAGTGCTTAAATCATGAATTATAAATTATCCAAGTAAAAATTGTTTCATACAATTATTACAATTACAAAATAATTGTTGCAAGCATATTCTGTCCTTTTTCATAGCTGGATTATTTTTATAAATCATTTTTTTCCCTATGTTACACAACTTGCAACAATTCATTTAGTGACCTTTCAAAGTTACAATGGCACCGAAAAAAGTTACTTATGACTATTTTTCACATTTATGACCATTGCAGCATCTTCATAGTCACATGATTTGCATTCGGATGCTTGACAACTGATTCGTATTTATGACGGTTGCAGTATCCTGGGGTCATATGACTATCTGACAAGCAAAGCCAGATTCACTTAACCATGTTGCTAATTAAAAAACTACAGTGATTCACCTACAAATGTGGCATGAAAAGTTGTTAAATGGGGCAAAGCTCACACATTTCTCAGCAACATAAAATTTGGACTCAGGTGGGATCATAAGTTGAGGACTACCTGAAGACTGTTTAAATTTGATGTATTTGATACTTCCCAAAATGTGTATTCTTCTTGCTGGTCTTTGGTACTTTGCTTTGTTTGAGGAAAATGCTTTTAATCTTACTCATGGCAAAACAACTTCAACTGAAGCCTTCGGTTCTTGGTTGCCATTCAAGGGGAAGGGAAGAAAGCATGGGGGGGGGGGGCACGACGACTCAGGAATGTGGTGCCTCAGCCAGCTAGTCACAATATCTCCCAGTGGCATGTGAACCAAGGTCATTCCAACAGACATTTGTCAAAGTTGAGCGGGAACCTACCCCTGGACTGATTGGCCCATGTGACCTGAGGGATAAAGTGCGGTTGGGAAATCTTATCCCTGAGCACGGGAATAATTTAGAGCTAGCTTCACCTTTCTAAGTGCCAATAAAAGATCTCTTGAGCCTGCAAACAGTCCTGACTCCCTGAGTTCTTTACTCAGAATGATGACATAAATGAAATTATTAAAAATAACAGTAATACAGCTATTTATATTTATTATTTAGCTATAATATAAATAATATTCAGCTACACATGAGTGTGGGCCAGCTGAAAATTCGGGATCCAAATGCATACTCTGAAAGAGGATCTTAAAGGTGAATATTTATTTGAAGCCAGAACTTTTCCTTTAAGATTAATGGATAAACAATTAGAAAAGAAAAACAAGGAAGGTTATTTAAATGTGAGCAATCAGCACAGTGAGTTTACTGTAAACACAAAAGTAGGAAGATTCAATGGCTGGTAAAGTTAACATTTTCCTGAAATGGATAAATTAATTTATTTGATTAGATTACATTTATTGCCAACTGGAAGTCTCTAATGGACATTTCTGGAAAAAATGAACTTGTGACTTACAGTTTTGATGATTAGATAGGATAGATTATAGAAAGAAGAGTAATATAATATTACTTTGGAGAGAGGTTAAATATATATTTGTACTTATAACTGCTGTGAAGAATACTGGAAGCTACTTTATACCTTTTCCTTTCTTTTCTATTTCTCCTTTTTTTCCTTTACCTGCATCTTTTTTTCTATGATATTTCTTTTTTCTTATTTTCAATTAGTTTGTGTTAGTTTTCATCTTCTTGCTTAAAACTTTTACTAAAATTATAAGTGAGATTGAAATATAGAGTTACAAAAGACAAAATATGTTTTTCCTTCTTTTCTTTTCCTTCATTTAAGGAACTCTTGCAAGAGAACTATGGTGAAGAGGCAAAGTTGATTTATGATCTGGAAGATCAAGGAGGAGAGATGCTGTCTCTTCGATATGACTTAACTGTATCCTAACAAAAATTCTAACTTGCAAGAACCATTTTTTTAAAGATAGATTGTCTCTGGCAGAATTGTGGAATAACAATAGATTGCTGCATGACTCATAACAGTAATTGAAGACAGGCCACAAATTGCAAGGGATTCAGAAGAAGCTTCCTCTTTCTAGTTGATTTGTGAGCATATCAGATCAGAACTCTTATTTACATTGTTAGCCAGGATGTTCTCATTCACAATTTAGTGGTGAAACTCTGTAATATAAACATCATGAACCAGTGCAGTATGTCATCTTATGTACAAGTCTTTGAAACCATTGAGAAGATATAGAGAATTCTTTCTACATATGGTTAGTCCTCAGTTGAGCCAAGAATTAAGGTCATAAGTCGATGCATGATTTTTTGGACATTTTTTGCAGTGGTTGTTAAATTAACACTGCAATCATTAAATGAATGTTGTGGTCATTAAAACATGATCTGAGCCTATATGAGATTTTATACACCAATATTACATCTTAAATTTGTCACTCAAAAAGTCTGGAAATGTAGCCATACTGATGTCACTGGATGGATTACTAGCACTTGAAAACTAGGTGTGGGTTTGTTTTTTGGTTTGCTAGTTTGTTTTTTGTGAAAAAGTAAAATATTTTGCAGGTAGAAAAAAATTGCCCATTGTTTGCTTACTTTCTGTGCTATAGGCAAGTTTTCTTAACTATGTTTCTAGGTGCCATTTGCTCGTTTCTTAGCTATGAACAAAATTAAACGATGTAAACGTTACCACATTGCAAAAGTCTATAGGCGTGATAGTCCGTCCATAAAGAGAGGACGCTTCAGGGAGTTTATCCAGTGTGTGAGTATCTGCAGGTTTTTCCACTTTGGGGAGTCAAAACAAAAAGGCAGATAAGCTGTCTTCTTTCTTTGACCTTTAAATTGAACTTGTCAAAGAAGCAGAGAATTCCATGTCTGAAATATGGAAATGAGTGAATGCTTTGTGAGATGGGGTACATACATATGTTACTTCACACTTCAGGAAAATAGGATTTAATCACTAAGTACTTCAGTTATTCAATTTACCTAGTTTATTTGGAGATTTTTAAAAGCTACTTTCTGTATTCCAGGATTTTGACATTGCTGGCCAATATGATCCTATGATTCCTGATGCAGAATGTTTGAAAGTCATGTATGAGATCTTAACTGCCCTGCAAGTTGGAGATTTCCTTATCAAAGTAAGAAAAGCTGGCTGTTTCTTAATCTAAATGGACTTCTGTTATGAACTCTTACCTATTAAAAAATCTGCAGGGTGCATTTATTTTTTAATCTCTTTTTTATTTCTGCTGTTTCCCCCAGATCAATGACAGGCGCATTTTGCAAGGGATCTTTACAATATGTGGTATTCCAGAAATCAAATTTGAAAGGATTTGTTCAACTCTTGACAAATTGGATAAGGTTAAGTATCTTCAGTTTGATCTTGGTGGGTTTGTAGGAGAGGCAATAAAGTGAATTGGTAAAGTAGAGGAGGGGAAGAATATAATAATTTGTGTATTTGATCATATATTCGAAAGGTAGCAGGAAATGCATGCATAAGGGAACATGGAATAGATAGGATATGTATATGGAAATGTGAGGGCACATGAGGGATCGAATAATAACTGAATATGTGATGAAAGTATGTATGTAGCATGTTTGTGCGTGAGAAAATTTGTGGTTGTGCATATGGAAGGGGAGTAAGGAATGCAGCCATCGAAGTACTTATTTGAAGTGCGGTTTTGTGAATTAGCACTACTAGACTCAGCAGGTGTATGCCTCAATCAATAGGATTTGTTTGGATTCAGGCACATATGAACATACAAGCCTTAGTATGGCCCTTGGCTCTGAAAATGTTACCCATTCATGGGGTATGCATTAAATAAAAATAGGTAATTATTTTACTTGGATCCTGTTAAATTGCATTCCCTATGTCTGTACGTCATGCATGTTGAAAAAAATTGTCAGTTTAAATTATCTGCTTTTTGAGCAAAGAAATGCATTAGCCAAAAGATGAATTATTTAACCTTATTTAAATTATCTTTAATTATTAAAGATAATGCATTCCTCCCCCACTTCTTCCACAGATCTCATGGGAGGAAGTGAAAAATGAAATGATCCTAGAGGATGGTATTTCTCCTGAGTGTGTCAATTGTATTAGTGAATATGTTCAACTTCATGGTGAGTATCAGTATAGGCATTCTGTAATGTGTTAATAATTAATCTCTAGTTGGAGTAAGATTGACTATGCTCCTGTGGATATTTTGTGGGAAGTATTCTTTATGTTTTGTGTTCCAAACTTTAGATTCAATTTAAGTTGAAATAATGTTGAGTTAGTATTGTAATTGCAAGCTTTACTGAAAGTGATAGAAAACAATGTAAGTATATCTTCCGTTTTTATATGCATCTTTTTCTGCAGGGGGACCAGATCTCATTGAGAAGCTTCTCAAGGATCCAAAACTGGCACAGAACAGATTGGCTATGGAAGGACTGGAGGACATGAAATTGCTATTTGAATACCTTACTCTGTTTGGCATCATAGATCAGGTGAATTGGAATGTGATATTTAAAGTAAATATAAGTGATCTGTGGCAGTCTAATACTTTCCTACTAAAAGCCCTCTCGTCCTGTTTCACAGGTCTCCTTACATCTGAGTCTGGCTCGTGGTCTGGCTTATTACACTGGAGTCATTTATGAGGCTGTTTTATTGTGCCAAAAGCATAGCCGCCTAAATGAGTCTCTTAGCTTAACAAGTGTGGCTGGAGGTGGACGCTATGATGAGCTTGTAGCAAAGTTTGATTCAAAAGGACATAAAGTACCTTGCGTTGGACTCAGTATTGGTGTTGAAAGGCTCTTCTCTATCATAGAGCAGAATAATGAGGTAAGGTCTTTTAATCAGAAGATTTAAATAAGTAAGAGTTCAGGGTTGTGCATAGGGATCAGAATACAAATGCAGAAGTGTAGATGTGAAATGCATTTATAGGATAGGAAATAAAAGAGATGCAGGGACTCTAGTTGGTTGTTGGGGGTGGAATGAGGGATAGCACAGCCCCAACTCTTCAAGCACTGAAGCTTCCCCATTAGTATTTTAAAATATTCCTCAGAGTTTGGCCTCCCTGCCTGCTTTCCTGTTCTGTGCTTTGAGACCTGGCTATGGCATATAACAAAGCCTCTGGTCAGGGACCAGCCATGTGTAATTAGGCCTTTTCCACTCTTCCTGGCAGCAAACCAACTCTGTAGATTTTCTTTGGAAAAAAGCTGCGCAAAAAGACTCAGTTGGAAAGATTACATCCTATTGATATCACAAGACTACGGTCAATCTGAAATAGTCCAAGTCTCATTTCATTGTGGCTGGGAATTCTGGGAATTGAAATTCACATTTCTTAAAGTTGCTCAGGTTGAGAAAAACTTCTCTAGGAGTGATAGAAGAGTCTAGTGGTCTTATAGAAGAAAAAGGGAGTGGTGGCACTCTTTTCCTAAAGGCAATTTGAACAGGTGCCCAGCTGCCTCTTTAGGAGACAATGAGCCAGGCTTTTCCAGTTTAATCGTAGATTTTTGTCTGGATCATAATATGTTTAGTCCAGTATCACCCATCATTGCATCTTGAATTGCATTATTTCATTTTGTGAGAAGAAAGAATTATTCCTGTAAAAGACAGCAATGTTAATGCCATATTTAGTCCTCATTTAAGCTAAGAAGCTCTAATGAGATATTGTAAGACATTGTGTAAGAAGTGCTCTGTATTACAATAACAAGACTATAAATGTTTTGCGCATTCTGGTCAAGATAGATAGCTGGCAAGTCCTAGATAGCTTGCAAGTCATGGAAAGATAGTTGGCAGGTTGAGCTGTCCAGTTATACTAAAATTAATAAGTTGACAATAAACTGGGTTTGCCAAGAGGATGGAGATTACGGGGAATGGATAAACAGATGGGATGGAGTTTCTGGGAAGAGGCCGGGGTCCACTCATAAAATAACCAATTAAGTTAAAGGGGGAATAACCAGGGCTGAGGCTTTGAAACAATATTTAACAATCATGTGTTCCTATGTAAAGATGTCCTCCTTGGCTCTGTCATATGAGCATGGAGGTCCCTTTTGAAAAAACTCAATAAAGCTTTTTATTATTGTTCAGTCTCCTGGTACATTCACACCTAAAGGGTTAACTCCTAAAGGTTAATTTCACACGTTTTTTTCTTAGCAACTACTAGCTCAGACCACCTGTTCAACAAGAGATCTTTATCAGTGCAATTTGAATCAGAACTGCCCTCTCTTGCTTGTTCTCAATCTCCGTGATCAATCCCCCATATTACAGGAAATCTGTAACTGAAAGTGGGAACTCTGCTCCTAAGAAGTCCTATGGTGTGACATTACACAGGCATGCTGACTTACAATAGCAGTTCTGGCAGTCCCAGTTCAGTAGTGGGGTTCAATTTTTTTTACTATCAGTTCTGTGGGTGTGGCTTGGTGGGCGTCACGTGGCTTGGTGGCTGTGGCAGGGGAAGGATACTGCAAAATCTCCATTCCCTCCCCCCTCCTGGGGGAAGGATACTGTAAAATCTCCATTCTCTCCTCACCCCACTAACCTGCTTTCCAGCTTCGTTCTCCTGTGCAGGGCAACAAAAGAAGACCCAGCTGGTCAGCTGGGACTTAGGAGGCAGAGAATAGATGAGGGCGGGGCCAGTCAGAGGTAGTATTCCGAACTATTCAAAATTTCCGCTACCAGTTCTCTGAACTACTCAAAATTTCCGCTACCAGTTCTCCAGAACTGGTCAGAACCTGCTGAATATCACCTCTGTCCCAGTTGCTATTGTTAGGTGAATCCTGAGCAACTGCAGCCTTCCAGTCATGTGGTCACAATTTGTGATCTCTGCTGGCTTGTCTACTTTCTTGTCAGAAGGCAGCAATGAAGGTCACAAGTAGTGAACACACAATTTCAGAAAGCTGTAATGTAATGTAGGCCCTAATTGAGAGCATGTGTCAGCAGGGACAATGCAACAGCCATAACTATGAGTTCTAAGTAACCCTTGTTTAGCACTATTGTAACTTTGAATGGTCACTAAATGAAGACAAGTATTCATTTGAACAAGTATTACCCATAGCCAATTGATAGTTGAGTGCTAAGAGAAGCTCTAGAAAAATAATAATGGAATGAAAACAAAGAAATTAAGACTGATCATCCATGAGACTGTGCTGCTCCAACTCAGCTGCCATATTAAAGAGGTTCATGTAATTTCATTTTCTTGATCGTTCTTTAGAGGCCTTGATTCCTTAAGTATTTTAATAAAACTTGCACAGTTATGGAATTCTTTGAAAGAAATTAGATATTTGTAAGCAGTCATAGCTCAGAAATTCAATTACTGAATCACTTGTTAAAATAACAATAAAATAAGATTGCTTAGAGCAGGTGTCGCCAACTTTTTGGACCTCAGGAACCACCAAACTCATAATTTTAAATCCCGTGGACCAGAGACCCTGGGAAAATCCCCCCAAAAGTCTGCAGGAAAATTCCCCACCCAGTTTTCCTACCGATCAATCATTCTTTATTTGGGATCGCAGGATACCATCTCCAGCTCCGTTCTCGGGGAGAGAGAGAAAGAGACTTTTGGCTTCATGCAAGGAAAGTAGCAGAAGCAGCAGAAGTCTTTCTTTCTCTCCCCAAACTCCGCCAGGAGTGAGTCTTTATGAGTCGTGTTGCACCGGTGCAGCCTCTTGGAGCAGGATGCCTTGCAGGATCCCAAAGATTCATTTCTGGTGGAACTTGGGGGAGAGAAAGAAAGACTTTTGTTGCTTTCCTTGTGTGTGCAGCCAAAAGCAGAAGAAAGCGGAAAGAAGCAGCCCGGTGGCCAGGCCAAGCGCATGGGGCAAGTTCCCCCCTCCTCTGCCCTTTCCCCCCCTTCCCTCACTACCTCGTGTTGTTCCCAATGCAAGTGATGCAAGCCTTGTGTTACCGCGGGCCATGTGGGCGGCGCAACCTTGTGTTCCCGCTCAGCCTGGATTATTTTGGGAGGTGCTTTGGGGGTGACATTTCTCTGCGGACCACCAAAATTTTCTCGCAGACCACCAGTGGTCCCCAGCCCACTGTTGGTGACCACTGTCTTAGAGTATGTTATTCCCATTTTTCTAATCTATTCCAATCTTAACTTTTTTAAAAAAGTCTTATTTCTTATTCTAACATTATAGATATTTACATTGCATCCAGATTAATTTACAAGCTGTTGGGTTTAAATTTTGCAATTAAAAAACTCCTTAATATAAAAGATCCATTGGGCAAGCAGGATTCCCAGACCATAGTAACGGGCAGAGAAGCAGTAGGTGGTATAGAGACTGGCTAGGCAAATGGGCACTAGACAAAGTAAATGAGAACAAAGCAAGAAAGGGGGAAATGATACTAAAAAATAGGATGAGATGGATCATCATTCATTTAAAGAACAATTTTAATTTTTAAAAAGTTTAAAAAGCACTATTCTGGTAAATATTCTTAAAAGCATTGTCCTTTATTATCTAGGATGCAGTTCACCTGCCCCTCTAAATAATTCAGAGTAAATGAATTGATGTTAACCCCGCTAGGTCTCCAAACTGTGGCCTGTGGGCTACATCTAGCTCTCTGGAAAGTTCCTTTTGGCTTACCAGCTTCTCCCACATGCTGTGCTCTTTTCCTTTCCAAACAGCTCAGGGAGAGAAAGCAAGGTTGTATCAAATCAATAAAATCTGTTTTTTTCTTTGGCCCCTCAAATGTTTGCAAAATATCCAATGTGGCCTTCAGACTGAAGTGTTTGAAGAACCTTGAAGTAAACCGTACCAAAATCAGTTTAACAGAAGACTAGATCTAATTATACTTTATTAAGGTAGGCTGTAGTAACAGATTCTTGTGAGTCTGATTGTGCTTTACTTTCCTTCTTTCTTACACTCGATTGAGTATAAGGGAAATGTTTGCTTGAATCACCTGCAAAAATTACCTTGCTTCCCAGGATTTAGGACATTTCAGCTTTTCTTGCCTGGATATTGGTTGTTTCATATTTCTGTCAAGGTCATCTTCCTTATTCTCACAGCTTTAATCTTCCAGTGTTCCACATAGGAAAGATAAGCTTTAAATTCTCCATCCATCAATAAAAGAATTAGCTGCTTTATATTAGAGAAATAAGGCACTGTCTCTATAAACAAGCTGTTTATAATAATTAACAAGGAGAATAATAGAAACCAAGACAAAACTGGTTTAGAAACAGTAGGAGAAATGATTGGATGAAAATAATGCCTATTTACTCAGTAAGTTTATAGTGCAAGCTGCAGTACATATAGCTAACCATATCCAAATTTTGGAAATGTCTGAAAATTAGAATATTTCCAACAATAATTAAGTCCAATTCAAGTAGAGCTTGTTTGCAAATTTTAGTTAATTCTGGTTATAATGTTGATTTTTTCCCTCCTCTTTCCTCTGAGATGTCCAAGCAGAAAATCCGCACAACAGAAACACAAGTGTTGGTGGCAACTCCCCAGAAAAATTTCCTTGCATTCAAAATGAAATTAATCTCTGAATTATGGAATGCTGGCATCAAGGTAATACTGAGAAGTTATTACACTAGTGCAGGGGTGTCAAACTCAATTTCAGTGAGGGCCGGATCAGCATTATGGTCACCCTCAAAGGGCCAGGTGGGCATGGCTTGGGGTCATGTGACTTGGTGGGCATGGAGGACTTCATCTGGCCCACTCACATTGAACGGAAGCTGTGATGGGCCACACAAAGCTGGGAGCAGTGATCCAGAGTGAGCACCAAAGTCGGGGGGGGCGGGGGGGCAGCTGAGCATCGGTGCTTGCATGCAGCTGGGGAGGGTGCCTGGAGGCAGTTGAATGGTGCTGGGGTGCGGTGGCAGGGCAGGCAAACTGCCCTTTCAGTTTTAGGCTAGAATACAGACATAGAGGCAACAGCAGTGGGGAGAGGTCAAAGTGGGAAGCCCCTGCCCACTGTTTCCTGCCCATTGCCTGCGGTGGCTTCCCATCTTCACTCCCACTGCCTGTTGCAGTCCGTGCAGTACTGTTCAATCCTCCTGGAATTCTCAGCCACGCACACGCACCAATGCCCTGTAGTTCATGCATTATTGTAGTGCAAGATCACAAGATCAGTAGCGCAAGATCTTGCATTACTGATCTCACACTACAGTAATTTAGGTCTCTGTCCTCTATGAACTAAGGCTTGTACCAGATCCAGCCGAAGAGCAATTGCAAGCAGATGAGCTTTTGGGGCAGTGAAATCACCTTGATTGAAGCCTCCCATGTGCCTGAAAACACTTCCACGCCGTTCCAGTCTTGGCACGAAGAGTGTTTACAAGCTGATGGGAGGTTTCAAGCAAGGCAGTTTCACTGCCCCAAAGTCTTGTTGGTTTGCAAACGCTTTTCATGCCATTCCAAACTTCCTCTGTGCTCAGGAAGGGACATGGGCGGGGGGAGAGATTGGTAGTGCTGCCCCGCGCTATGGCTTTCCCATGCAGGGGTGGGGGTGATCCCAGCTAAAGGGCTACAAGGCCAGGCCAGCGAGCGGGGAATGGAGGCGAAGTGCTGATGTACAACTTGGTGCTGCCATTTGGGCTGGAATATGATCAGCTTTTGATTCAACCCGCGTGGCCACCAAGAGACCATCCTCTTGCCTTGGCCCCATCCTGGGGCCATGCACACAGGAGAGAGTGAGCGTGCATGTCCTGGATGAAAGGGGAGTAGTCAGAATGTAGCCAGCCTGTGGGGCAATGCAGTCCCCAGGGATGCCAGCCCCCACACACGTTCACCACCTCCTGGGGGGGGGCAGACTGGCTTCTCGGGTCAGATGTAAGGCTGACTGCGTTCAGGCTCAGTTGGCCACCATCAAGCTGTAGAATAGATCGGCACCACACCCACATCAGAGCGTCCCTATGGATCTAAGGCTGACTGTGTTCTGGGTTAGATGGCCACCGCCAGGTTGTAAATCAGTGCCCAGTTGGGCTGGGCTGGGCAGGGCTGAGGCACTGCTGTTTCCAGGGCGGCTCTGCGCACCTGATCTAACCACATCGTGGGCTATATACATCTGCTTTAGGGTATACACCTGCATTACTGTATATCTTCAAGCTATAATTTTTTTGAAACCACAGTATATATTTCTGTGAAAAATTATTCACTCCCTTTCAGATTTTTTGAACGCTTGTGTATCTTTGCCAATGAATGTACAATACTTGAGAGACTTCCTGTGTCCCACACTATCTGCTCAGCTACTTCAATCTAGCACAGGGGTGTCAAACTCAAGGCCTGCAGGCCAGATGAGGCCCGCAATGTGGTCAGATCTGGCCTGCGGGGCTGTCCTGGTCTATCCAATGCAGAGGGGAAAAATGACTTTAGCCCGGTCTACCCAATGTGAAGAGGAAACATTGGGCCAGCCGGGCTTTGGCCCAATATAGCCAATGCAAAAAGGAAACATGCCAGCAGTTTGGGGAGTGGCATCAAACTAGCCATGCCCATCGAATTAGCCACACCCAGTCGGTCATGACTGCCCAGTCCCCCAAGGTCAACCACAGCCCTGATGCGGCCTTCAATGAAATTGAGTTTGACACCCCTGATTTAGCAGGATTGGTATTGTTCAGGTTCTATTGATCAAACAATGGCATCTTTTGGAACCCCGGAGGCATTTTTTTTTTTTTTTGCTATTGCTATTGTTCTATCTTCTTCTTTTATTTGTGGGTTTTCTGTTGCTTTTTGTTCTGAAATGTTTCTAACAATTATAAACTGCCCAGAGTTACTGAGAATTGGTGGCATATAGCAATAGCAGTATATGAGTTTTACTGCTTATTAATGCTTTATAGCCCTCTCTAAGCAGTTTTACAGAGTTGCCCCCAAAAATCTAGGTCCTCATTTTACTGACCTCATAAGAATGGAAGTCTGTATCAACATTAAGCCCATCAGGATTGAACTACTAACAGTCAGCAGAGTTAGCCTGCAATATTGCAGTCTAACCACCATTAATATATAAGATTAATATACAGTATTATAGTTGATTACATAGACAGAAGTTTAGACTGGATTTGGCAGTTTTGTCTACCTATCAAGTTTTTGAGGACTTGGGATGGGCAGATGTTGTTATGTGATGTTAAGGGTATTGTCATAGGCTATAAGTTACAGTTGACTGAGGGTGATTTTATCAACACCAATGATTTCAAGTGGTGTTTCAGATGTTTTAGAATTGCATCCAAGGCACCTATTATAATTATATACCAAAAAAAAAATGAAATCACGGCTGGCAGTTTTTTAGCTAGTGTTGGGCTTTGTACACATTAAGCTCTTCCCAAGAGCCTAGGATGTCATAATATATTGTTAGTACATTTGCAAATCAATGCAGTGTGGCTTCTTGTAATTGATTGATAGAAATTTTATCAATGTGCAGATTTTCTAAGTGCTGTCCAACATTTTTTGACATGACACCCACTACAAGGATAACTACTAAGACCATAATCTTTCAGGTTCTAGATTTTGATGTTTTGTGAGCTTTAATTCTTTATCTTGTATTCTACTGTATCCTGATATTACTACATCAATTACCCATACTTTCTTCTTTTCAACCTCAGTTAAATGCACTGGGTTATGAGCCAATATTTTATCAGTTCACATGTGGAAATCCCACAATATTTTAACTTGCTTGTTTTCCTCTTTTAACTTTGTGTTTCCATCAATTTTTCATTATTGGTATATGATGTTCCACTGAATCATTTTGACAATTGTTATGTCATTATTTGTAATCAGTTTTTACAATGTTCTTGCATATGATCTACTGTTTCTTTTTATCTTTGCACAGTCTGCACTTTGAATTATTTAATGATTTTTCAATTCGGGCTTTGATTGTATTAAGTTGAATAGCTTGCTCTTAAGCAGCCAAAACCACTTCTTTTTTAATGAACCAGTTGTAAGACATTGTCAGGTTTTATCTTTATCCATTTTCCCCTTTATTCTTTGTAGAAATTGACCATGTAATGCTTTTCCTTGCTAGCATTCTATTCATCTTTTTATTGTATTATCTCAAAATTTATGTTTTGTTTCAGTAAGTTCCAATTTTTTACTTGCATTGATATTTGTTCTTGGCTGTCTTTTATGTAATAAGCTAATTAATACCTTTCTTCAACAGCTTCACTTAAAACTCTGACTATATTTCTGTGGGGTTATTATAATCTGTCAGTATCAATATGGAGATGTAATGTGCAGTGATGTCATTAGTTTTTCTTGGTTTTTTTTTTGTCCAAACTGATGTGTTAATTCCAATAGTGTATCATATCGTCAGCACAACCCAATCCAGTATAGTATTCTTTTTCTGTTTTCTTACAATATTAAGTGGCTCAATGAATACACGTACTGTGGCTCTTTTTCTAAGACCTGCCTGACATGTGTGACTCTTTTGCTAGAATATATTATCATCAGCATAGCTCTTAACTTCATCAGAGCATCACAAGATCCTCTCTCACAACAGGAGAGTATTTATGAAGATATTATGTGAGAGTAATCTATAGTTAGTTTCACAGTCTAAATCTAATTCCTCATCTAACTCCCTTATAAATTTTAACACTGACTTAAAAGCAGTCTTGGGTTTCTGCCAGCATAAGACTCATGTGGCTCCAAAAGTTTCATATTTAACTCATCTGTCAATAGTTCTGGAGACTAATCCAGGTGTGTTGTTTTGTTTTGTTTATTGGGTTTTGGGGGGGACAAGTTTCAGATGAGCATCAATATTCTTTTCAATGGACACTGGATTTTGCTTTCTTATTCCCTTTGAATCCTGTTTTTATTCAGCACTTTTCTTTGGGGAGATTCACTATTGTCCATATCTTTTCTATTTCAAGACTATGTCTCAGACTAGTTTTATAACCTTCACCAGATTGATAAGCATCAATTAACATTTTTTGTGAAGGTCTTCAGAAATTTCTTTAGAGCAGGACATGGCATGCCTCATTTGTGTGATGAGAAGCCTACAGTACTGAGAGGAGTTAAATCTATAAGATATTTATAAGGTAACACTGGCCCAACTCAACTTTGAATGTCAAATGAAGTTCTCACAAAAGTGATGCCTGCTATTTCTTTAATTGTATTGATTGAACTAGGGAGATAAAACTTTTTCCACATTGCCAGATCACCTATTGAATTTATGAAATAAAAGAAACATTGCTATTTGTTCACCCAAACTATATATATTATTATAATTACATAATACTATTTACATAGTATTCATACAAAGCTTTAATATACAGTGGCAAAGTTTTGCAAATATTCGTAAGATCCAAAAGGGGTAAGTAAGATGCTTATAAAAGCTGTGGTGGTGCAATGGTTAGAATGCAGTACTGCAAGCTAACTCTACCCACACATTAAGGGTTCGATCTTGACCAGCTCAAGATTGAATCAGCCTTCCACCCTTCCAAGTTTTATAAAATTAGGATCCAGATTGTTGGGAGCAGTATGCTTACATTGTAAGCTGCTCTGAGAGTGCTGTAAAGCACTATAGAGCAGTATATAAGTGCTATTGCTATTGCTCTATGCAGTCTTCAGTTTGATGAAAAATATCTCTTTTAGTTTTTTACTAAATGTCTTAAATAATTTTCTGAGCCGATCATTTTTTACTATATCTTATTGATGTCAGTATTTATCTTCCCATTTCTTATCAACATTTTTCAGGCAGAGATGTTATATAAAAAAAATCCCAGACTACTGGAACAACTGCAATATTGCGAAGAAACAGGAATCCCACTGGCAATCATAGTTGGAGAACAAGAACTGAATGATGGAATAGTGAAACTTCGGGATGTTGTTACTAGAAAAGAGGTTGGCGTTGGTATTTAATGGAGTCAATTTGAAACTGTTGCTCTGAAATAATCTTCCCTAGAGTTGTTTGAACACCACTGAGATCATGTTTGCAATTCAGTTTTTCACAGTAAAGATATTTTATTTTGACGAGTTGCACTAATCAAGTCTCTATTATCTGTTTTTTAGGTTAATATTCCTCAAGAGAATTTTATAGAGGAGATCAAGAGAAGATTGGAAAAATACAACACTTAATTTCATGTAATTGACATTTTATACTGCTCCTAAGGTGGACTTATACGCTTATATATGCTCTTATGAAATACTGCAGGCTTGTGAAGCACCTGGAGTTGTTCAATATTTCTTTCCTTTTTTTTGTAATAAAATAATATTTCACATTTTAGTCACACAAACCAAGATTTAGAGAACTGGATTTGTGTCGTCGTACTTTTTTTATCCACTATCGCTGTGTACATAGGCTTAAGTATGCCGGCCTTTCAAAAAGAATTAGCTTTGCTATTATTGTCATTATGTTCTCCGCATACATTCCTAATCTGATTTGCATGTCAATTCCCGAATCTGCAGCTAACCACACAGTTGTAAACTAGTGCTGATAGATTGGTGAATGATTGATAAATGTTTCTGACTCATTGGTTTAGCCATCTGGCAAAACTCAGTATCTGTAGTAGCCTGTTTTGCAGACATGAAGAGTTTTGAAAGAGCTCTTCACCCATGCTGGTTAAGCCATCTGTCAAAATCAAGTGTCTCAACAGATGTGATAATAAAATAAGAGAGTTTCATTCTTCAAAAGGTACTTCTTTTGAAATAATTCTCATGCTTTTACTCACTATTTCCCAGAGCTGATCTGCAAGATGTAGGATATAATGTTTCAGCCCAGTTTTCCAACTCCACAAACAGAATGGATCTGGAAGAGAATGCTCTGGGATGGTAGAAGAGAGGTCATTACTTCATCAGGCTCAACCAATCAATAAGTCCTAATCTGATCACACTCCCTGTTGCCACTTGACTACACAACCAACAAGTATATCTGTAACAGCTTATATTCAGTTGTGGTCTCCTGTGGATTGTTAACTTGCCGTATAAGAATTTAGGACTGACCTTGGGGAAGGTATGAGATAAATATTGGGGGGGAAGGTAGGGGTAAGAAAGAAATTATTGGGGAATGGTAGAAAAAAATTACACAGGCCTGAGATAGAAGGAAACTCAAAATGATTTTGTTTAGTATAAGATGGGGCAGAGAGAATCTGAGACAAGCTTTCAAGATTATATTATTCTATTTTACTCTTAACAAAGAGCATTCACAGAATCACTGCCATGCCTGTTTTTGAGCTGGTGTGCCTTGAAGGCCTGACATACTCACACTAGGAAACAGCATAGTTTAGCTTCATATAGTGCATATTCCCATAGGAGAAAGAAGGAGGGGTTGAAGATATTGGGGTGGAAGGAAAACTGAAAAGATGCAAGTAAAGTACAGAGCCATTTTAATAAACTGCTAGATGGGAGACTATGAATTCCAGTCTTGTCTTAGGCATGGAAACTAGTTGGCTGACTTTGGGGCAGTTACTTTCTCTTAGCCCACCACATCTTACAGGATGGAAGTTTGTGGAAAACAGGATGTAAAAGTATTGTGTACTATGCGCCTTGGGTTGTACAAATATGTGGGTTATAAATCTAACAAATGTTAATAACTAAGATTAAGACAATGTTGAAGTAGTATGGTTTTAATAAAGAGTTGGCAAAAATGAGTTGGATTTGGTCAGTGGTTATGTTGTAAAAAGTTTATTGGAAAGTGACCTGATGTTCACAAAATGGTGCAGGACACAGTCTAGGACAGGGGTGTCAAACTCAAGGCCTGTGGGGTGCTTAAATGTGACCCACGGGCCAGCCTGGAATAGCAAAGGACTGGCCCACAGTGCCTCTGGAAGTCAAAATGGGATACAGAGGGCATGCAAGGTTCCCTGTGCCCCGTTTTTGGCCTGGACAGCCTCCTGCAACACTGCCAGCCAAAACAGGGCACCGGAGGACTATATGAGGCACACCATTTTGGCACGTAAGGTGTTCCAGGAGCCCCTCCAGGCCGAAAATGGGACACAGGGAGGGCTCATGTGGCCCCTCTACATCCTGTTTTGGCCAACAGGGTGCTACAGGATTCCATCCAGACTGAAAATGGGTTATGGGGGGGCCTCACACATCTCCACCGCATCCCATTTTGGCTGGCAGGGTGCTGCAGGGGGGGCCTGTCCCATCTCCCCCTTGGCCACCCCGCCGAGAACTACAATGCTGATCCATCCCTCAAAGAAATCCAGTTTGACACCCCTGGTCTAGGAATAGGTACCAAAATGAAAGAGGTAGATACATAACAATTGCCTATCCCATTGCATAATGATGATCAGCAGTTTTACCAACTTAAGAAACAGCAACTGCCAGCCTGCACACAGGAACGATCACTATGAACATAGCATTTTTCCTTAACTCTAGTAAATACAGGTGAAACTCAAAAAATTAGAATATGGTGCAAAAGTTCATTAATGCACTTAAAAGGTGAACCTAATAAATGAGATAGACTCATTACATGCAAAGCAAGATAGTTCAAGCTGTGATGTGTCATAACTGAGATGATTATGGCTTACAGCTCATGAAAACCCCAAATCCAATCTCAGAAAATTAAATTATTGTGAAAAGGTTCAATATTCTAAGCTCAAAGTGTCCCACTCTAATCATCTAATTAAAGCCATAACACCTGCAAAGGGTTCCTGAGCCTTTAAATGATCTCTGTCTGGTTCAATAGGAATCACAATCATGAGAAAGACTGCTGACCTGACAGTTGTGCAGAAAACCATCATTGACACCCTCCATAAGGAGGGAAAGCCTTAAAAGGTAATTGCAGAAGAAGTTGGATGTTCCCAAAGTGCTGTATCAAAGCACTTTAATAGAAAGTTATGTGGAAGGGAAAAGTGTGGAAGAAAAAAGTGCACAAGCAGCAGGGATGACCGCAGCCTGGAGAGGATTGTCAGGAAAAGGCCATTCAAAAGTGTTGGGGACTTTCACAAGGAGTGGACTGAGGCTGGAGTCAGTGCATCAAGAGCCACCACACACAGATGGATCCTGGACATGGGATTCAAATGTCATATTCCTCGTCAAGCTGCTCCTGAACAACAAACGTCAGAAGCGTCTTACCTGGGCTAAAGAAAAACAGAACTGATCTGTTGCTCAGAGATCCAAAGTCCTCTTTTCTGATGAGAGCAACTTTTGCATCTCATTTGGAAACCAAGGACCCAGAGTCTGGAGGAAGAATGGAGAGGCACACACTGCAAGATGCTTGAAGTCCAGTGTGAAGTTTCCAGTCTGTGTTGATTTGGGGAGCCATGTCATCTGCTGGTGTTGGTCCACTGTGCTTCATTAAGTCCAGGGTCAATGCAGCCGTCTACCAGGAGATTTTGGAGCACTTCATGCTTTCTTCCGCAGATGAGCTTTATGGAGATGCTGACTTCATTTTCCAGTAGGACTTGACCACCTGCCCACAAAAGCACCAAAACCTGGTTCAATGACTGTGGGATTACTGTACTTGATTGGCCAGCAAACTCGCCTGACCTGAACCCCATAGAGAATCTATGGGGCATTGCCAAGAGAAAGATGAGAGACATGAGACCGAACAATGCAGAAGAGCTGAAGGCCGCTATTGAAGCATCCTGGTCTTCCATACCACCTCAGCAGTGCCACAGGCTGATAGCTTCCATGCCACGCCGCATTGAGGCAGTAATTGCTGCACAAGGGGCCCAAACCAAGTACTGAGTACATATGCATGTTTATACTTTTCAGAGGTTTAATATTGTTCTATGTACAGTCCTTGTTTTATTGATTGCATGTAATATTCTAATTTTCTTATATTATGGATTTGGGGTTTTCATGAGCTGTAAGCCATCATCATCTCAATTATGACATATCACAGCTTGAACTATTTTGCTTTGCATGTAATGAGTCTATCTCATATATTAGGTTCACCTTTTAAATTGCATTATTGAAATAAATGAATTTTTGCACGATATTCTAATGTTTGAGTTTCACCTGTAGGTAAGAGAAGTACAGTAGAGGTACCTTCCTCCCACCATACACGCACCTATCAAGCAACATTATTGGAGGTCTATATATCCAGTTATATATTGCTCTGCAGTTTAAAATGTCAAGCAGCTTCTCTTAACTCAAAATAGTCAACAGAAAAAGGGAAGAATGAATGCTGTGTTTGGTTGTAAGTCATGTTTCCAAAGTTGCTATTTGTTTAATGAAAGTGAAAAATTTCAAAATTTTGTTCTAGATAAAGTTTCTTTTAAATTCTAGGTTGGGATGAAAGGCAGTATCATGGAGACACAGTTGAAAAAAATATTACAAGGACATGCTTATTTAATGTGTAGATTTTACTTATTTATATTTCATATTTGTAAATCACCCATCTCCCTCAGAGTGTGATTATGACCTCTGCTCAAATCACATAGCTTTGCCTAATTAATATCTGGCTCTAGACATGCAGTAATAAATACTGTAGATCTTTTGTTCTGTTTTATGCACTTGCCATACTTAGTCTTAAATGGATCAATTGTATAATTATCTGTAGATGCATTGCATCAGTTAAATGGTCTGTGCCAGATGGTCCCAAATGATTTTGGAATATAATTGAGGTGTTTTCATGTTTCCGTAGTCAGTGATACTATCAAAGCCCTGGCTGTTGTATTAAATTTAAAAAATCAATTAGAGGAAATTTGCTCTTCATTGTACAAGTAAAGAAAGCATAGAGTAAGCTATGAGCACTTCTGATTGGTGCTTTGGAATACATGAATATAGTGCATGTTTGCACCTCTTTAAAGCAACTGCATCTTTCCACAGATCTCTATTCACCCAATTTGGTGAATTCCCGGTGCAGGAATGGCTATCTGAAGGACCCAGAGCCAAGGCACTAATCCTAACCCAAGCCACCAATCTCCATAACTAAAACACAAATAACAGGAAACAGGGAAAATATATTGCAGACCCTAAAGTAGACTTAACATACGGTTTTCTTTCATCTTTATTATTTTTTCTCAAATAGAATAAATTAAAACATTGTGGCTTCACTTATATGAGGGACATTGCTTTTGATTTTATATCACTGACCTATCCAAAATCTGCCTATGCCAAGATTTGGCTAATTGTTCTTCACTTCACAGGAAATTATGGCCATCCAGATCCAATTATAGCTCATCTTGGATCATGTTGCTAAAGCTGTTGGAGGCTAGTCATCTGGAGATCGTGTTTTATATATGCCTTTGCAACAGCTTCTATAATCTTGTCACTTGTTTCTTTACAACCAGCAGAAAACTGCAGAATTCCTTTTCTTATAGCCACTTATTGTTTTCATGCTAAATAATTTAAAGACTG